ATATAGGAAGGACCTCAGGAACTCTAAAGATGGATGGGACCTTGACAGCCAGGTTTCACTGCTGAGGGACTATCAGAGAGAGCCGCTGAGCAGTCTCTGCAGATGGGGGCAGTCTTTCCCACTGCTGGGCCTAGCCTTATAAAAGTCTAGGCTTTAAAGTTCTCTATTAGCCCGTAACTAATGGGTATCTGCATTATCAGCTGGGTTATAAACGTCTGGACAAGACTCTGCTTTAAAGAGGTAAAGAACCCGGCTCTATATGTTTTCTAAAATGGATATTAAACTCAGTTCACAGCAGAGATGCACCATCAGGGATGGTGAGCTTGAAAGATGGGGAGCTTGAAAGAAAAGACATTGGAGATGGGTTGTGGAGATGTCAGGATTTGGGTGGGGAAGATGGATGCATTCCAGTCTCAGGTTTAAGTTATGACTATAGCCCAGGTATCTGAGTGTTATGTGAGCCATTCATTTGGTAAATCTCTTCTCTGCCTCCTCTGTGATTGAGCTAATAGAGTTTAGTTAAATAAAAAGGAAGCATTTTCCAGGTAGGGGCTCCTGAACTCTGGAAGAAGACGAGGTGGGAAAGAAGTAAGGCCTGGTATCATGAGGAGAGAGACCCATACACTCTACCTCCAACATACCCCTCACCAAGTGTGCAGATGTATGTGTTGGAAAGTAATGGTAAGTGACCAATCTGGAAGCAGGAAAATGAGGGTAGTCCCTTGATTTCTCATGTCTAGGAGTGGGGCCAATGTTCCTGGGATCATCCAAAGGTGTGAAATCCTAAGTGCCACTCACATCAGAACACAGTCCAGGTTTTCATGTATAGTTATCTGTAAGGGCTGGTGAACATCAGACCCAAGGTGGTTAGCAAATGTGGTCAGACCCAATGTGGCTAGAGTAAGAAAGTAAGGGTGACCTCAGTTATTTTTTTGAATTACCTCTGTTTTCCCATCTGTAAAAATGATACATTGGGATTTAATGCCTTTGCATAGCTGTTCTCTATGCTTGTGCCATTTACATATGAATTCTGGAGCAGTCTGCTGTTGTACCAACCAGAGGAGTGACAACCAGGTCCACCAGACACAGAGGGAATAGCTATTTCCCTCTTGTTTCCTTGAAGGAGGAGCCTTATGAACTGCATTAGGCAGGAATGCAGCATCTCTGTGCAAACTAGTGGTCTGGAGTGAGGTATTTGCCAGATGCTTTAACATAATGCAAGTAGAAATAGTGTATGCATGATGTGGTGGAATTATTGCTGACTATGAATTTATTGCCCAGCTAGTGAGAAGGTGCTCGTAGAAGTTACATTTAATTGGGGCTTTTTTGAGCAGAGGTAGATTTATTTACCTATACAGACATTTGATCTCAGCAGACCTTGGGGTAACAACAACAACATTTTTGATCTTTGAGTCCCTTTTCCCTGCATTTGGCTTCTGATTTCCCTCTACAGAGTAGCTATAGACTCCCTCCCACCCTCCCTCCCTCTCTCTCTCTCTTTCTCTCTCTCTCTGTCACACACACACACACACACACACACACACACACACACACACACACTTTCTTGCTCACTCTCTCTCAACAGGGCACCTATGCTTGGGATTTTTCTGTGTCTGATGCACCTGGCCCCTTGTATTCAAGCCTCACTACATACTCATAACATCCATGAAAAGGTTTTCTGGAAACTTCCTGGAGTTCAAAGTCCAGTCCAAGCCTATCTTGGCAGCTTTCTCCACCATCCCCCAACATTTCCTGCAGTAAGCCCTGACAGTAGGAGGATCACAGCAATTCTTTCCAAGGTAACATCTCAAAGGTTTTCACAGGTATCAATGTGTCTTCAATACAAACACCTGATTGAGGTGAGATAGAAGAGATAACAATGGATTCAAAAGGATTTGAAGCGCTCAAGTATTTTTTTCCCTTTGAAGCTTAACAGCATAGACCTTTTATGTTACAGGATAAAAAACCAGGGAAAAGTAGAGATTAGCTTCTATTTAATTTAGGGTTCAGTATGCAAAGCTCAGAAGACAATTTTTAGATCCCCATTTCCAGGTAGAGACTAGAACTCACAAATCCTAAACCCTTCACTTTGTACATTAATTGCTCTATTTGTTGATAGCTTCAACCAATTTATCCTTCTCTGAAAATGTTCTATTGTATAGGTCAGTGACTATGGTAAAAAACAAGTTACAAGATACTTTTGGTATTATACAAGTAATGGGAAAACTTTATTAGTTGTTTTATTTATTTAGTGGGTATGTGTAGGTGCCAACACTGGTTCTTGAACTAAGGATCTTGAGCTTTTTCACTCAAGGCTGAAGCTCTGCCATACGAGCCACATCCTCTCTCCCTTTGGCTTTTTGTTGGCTGATGGGTGTAGTGCTTCTCAAAGACTTTTCCGCCAGGGCTGGCTTCAAACCACAATTCTCTGATCTGTTTCCTGAGTAGCTAGGATTACAGGAAGGAGCTGCCAATGCCAGGTGAAAACGTTTTTTAAAAATATGTTTTTTATTGTAAAAATGCTGTACAAAGGGGTTACAGTTACATGAGTAAGGTAATGAGTACATTTCCTATTGAGCATTGTTACCTCCTCGTTTGTTTTCCCCCTGCCATCCCTTCCCTCCCCACCTCCCCAACTCCTCCCTCCCCTCTCCCCCAGGTTGTAAAGTTCGTTTTCAACATAGTGTCTGGTACATCTCATTGTTACAATGGGTCAACCTGTATCCTTATTTCAGCATTTTGAAAGTTGGAAAAACAGGGAAAAATTTTATACTAATATTCCCTAGCAAACAGAGGAACATGACAGTTTTCTTTGTCACTCATGCTCATGTTTGTTGGGCATCAGATGGGACCTACCTTGCTTTTATTCTCACTTTGGATCCAGGCTGACAGACTACAACTATCTTGTAGAAGAAGAGTTTGTGCTACTTACGCCAACAGTTACATTTTCTATCATGACATTACAGTTTATTTCCCTCCTACCTTAGCTATGATTTGTTACAGTGTCTCCACTACACTACTAGGAGTTTGTGAAGGACTACCAACCACAATGAAGGTCTTTTGTTCACTTCTTCTGCAGAGGGAGTCACAAGTCCATGTGTTCTTGCCTCCCCAGTTAAGAAGTGCTATAGTAAGAACAACTCTGTATTTGACAGCAGGGCTAGAAGGTTGAGGGGACCCTACTTCCTACAAGGCAGCAGGGCAGTGGAGATAAATAAAGTCTCTCTTGTGCTGGTCCTGGGGCTTGAACTCAGGGCATGGAACTACTTTGCCCCGAGCTTTTTTTGCTCAGGGCTGGCATTCTCCCACTTGAGCCACAGCTCACTGTACCACACATTACCACAGCTCCACATCTGGCTCTTTTTTTTTTTGTAGTTTTTTTTTTTTGGGGGGGGGGGGAAGTCTCATGGACTTTCCTGCCGGGGCTGGACTTGAACCACAATCTCCGATCTTAGCTTCTTGAGTAGGTTGGATTACAGACATGAGCCATCAGCATCATGCTGTCTTTTTATTCATTCTTGGCTTCTCATCTTGGCTTTTGTCCTTCTGGTGTGTCCTCCTTATCTCATTGGTCCCCATGTGGGGGAAGCATTCAGTTCTTTCCCATGGGAAAAAACCAGTGATTAATTTCCAGTGCACAGGAGGCAGCTAGTGTTGCTCGGCTCCTGTAACCTAATTGCACCAATTTCATTTTAGTGCAGCTGTGTATATTTGTTACAGATGTATTTGTACAACTTAGTAGCCTGCCTTTTGACTTTATATATTAGTTAGTCCACTACCATAATTGCAGAAATATCAAGTTTACACTCAAGTTCTTCTCTTCCTTCCTTCTTCCTTCTCCCTCTTTTCCTACCTCTCTCTCCCTTTCTTTTCTCCTCTCCCCTCCCTCTGCCTCCCTCCCTCCCTCTTTTCCTTCCTTCCTTCTTCCTTTCTCCTTTCTTTCTTTCTTTCCTTTCTTTCTCCTCTTTCCTTCTTTTCTCTTTTTCTTTTCTTTCCTCAGGGCCTGGGGCCTGTCCCTGAGCTTTCCTTGCTCAAGGCTAGTAGTCTTCCACTTGAGCCACAGTTTCACTTCTGACTTTTTGGTGTTTAATTGGAGATAGAAACCTCATGTATTTGAACCTTATACTTATATTTCAGCCTAGTGAAAAGCTGGGTTACAGACACAAGACCTGGGCAATGGGCTCTTTTTTGGGGTGGGGGTGGGGGGTGCCTCTCATGCTCGCTAGGCAAGGACTGCACCACTGGAGCCACACCCCTAGTTCTTCTGCTTTTAGTTTAATTTTCAGATCGCCGCTCCAGGCTTTTATACAGGCCGGCTCGGATTTACTGTAGTCATTAATACCTCAGTTCCATTTCTGCATACCTGTTTGGCCTTAATTTTTTTTTTCTTTTCTTTTTTCAGTGGTTATATCAGACTAGAAAAAAAAAGTTGGCTTTTTGTAAGGTGATAGAAGCTTAAGTGGCAGAGAAGCCAGCGCAGGGCGATGTTCCCCGTGGCCAACCACGCAGGGCAAGGCACACACCGCCACTCCTCTGCAGGCTGCAGAGGGCCCGGCTCAAAGGGCAGCAGGCGGTCGGCAGGCAGCGCCACTGCGGCTACCTGGGAGCCGGGCGAGTCACCTGCGTCTTGCTGACTGCTGCCCTGACTGCCAAGCCGCGGGACCTGTGCCCCGCCGTCCTCCCGGGCACGGGCCACACCTCGGGCGGGGCCGGGATCGCCTCCAACCTCTGGCACCTCTGGCACCTCTGGCCCGGGGGCGGCTGCGGGGGAAAAACCAGACGCCCGCGTCAGCCGCCCAGGGCCCAGGTACTGGGTGCCCGGGCACCTGCGGGGCCAGCCCCGCGTCCGGGGCGGGGCTTCCCGCGTCCCCTTTAAGAGGCCGCATCACCCGCCCCTGACGTCAGGGTGTCTCTCCGCACGAGCCCGCGCCCGCTCGGCTCTGCGCCCCCGCGCCCACAGCCCCGGCGGCGGCACCAGCGGCGGCGGCGGCCCGGCGAGCGCGCCGCCCGGCTCGGCCCTCTCGCTCCGCACCCGCAGCTGCCCGCGTCCGCGCGTCCTCCCGCACCATGTCGGTGGCCGGGCTGAAGAAGCAGTTCCACAAAGCCACGCAGGTAAGGCGCGTGACAGGTGCGTCGGGGAGCCGCGGTCCCCGGCGGGGCCGCGGGGGGCGCGTGGGAGCCTCGGGCGGGGACCCTGGCGCCGGCGCCGCGCCCGGAGCAGCCGCGCCCCGCATCCTCCCCCCGCCCCGTGCCCCGGGTCCCCGGCGCCCCCCCCCCCCCGGGCCGGCGCTGCGGGGAGGGCACCGCAGCGGCCCCGGCGCGCGCGCGCAGCGCAGGTGTCCGGCCGGGCGGGAGATTATGTAAAGTCGCTTCTTCCCCGGTGACCTTGCGGTGCCGGGGCGCGGGCGGCCCTGGGATGCGCTGGCGGGGATGGATGCCCGCGCCGGGGCGGGGGGCTGGGGGGGCGGCTGCGGGGCGGGCGCGCGGGGCGGGCTCCCCGCGTCACCCCCCGGGGCTCCCGGGACTGGAGGACCCGGCGGCCTGCGGCCATGCGCAGCCCTCCAACTTTTCCCAGGAGAACTCCCGGGGAAACTTCCCGCACACCAAGGCTGGACCACAGGGCTTTGGGTCGTGAACATTTTGGCGGCCGTGGTAGCACCAAATGGTTGAAAACTTCAGCGTCGTGCAGTTTGGGATGTTGCTTTCCACCTCCCAGAGTGCTCGAGTTTGGTTTGGTTTGGCTTTGTGTTTTTACAATAGGGTTAATGGATTGTGATCATGGTAGAACAGGGCTCACATTTTAATCATCTCATTGGACTCAGGTGAATTTTACAGAAGGAAAGATGAAGGAGTACTTCACGAGGTGACCTATTTCTTACATAAGATGTGGGATAGCCTTTTTTGCTTTTACTTCTAAAATTGGCTCACGTTTAAGAGATCTTTAGTAAAGGACTTAGCTGATTTAACCTCCTCCCCCATAATTTAGTCTTAAATTCTCCCTCCCCACCCCACCCCCCGTAGACCTGCCTTAATTAATAGTGAGTGTTCTGGTAATTTATCAGAAGCAGTGAGGTTTGTGCCAGGCTAGCACAGTAGCAGCTCTATTGGAGAGCATACAGAATAGGTGCAGATTGTGTTTTCTAGAACCTTGGTTAACTTCGGTGGTTTGATGGAGTGGGAAATTCATCTCATATATTCTGTGTGTTTTCAGGCAAATACATCATTTCTATCTCCATAGTCTTGTGTTTCAAGAATTAGTTAATACCTGGAAAACTAATGAAATCAAGAAAGCTGTTTTCGTAAAAATGCTTCTTACCATATTTTTCAGTGACCTTTTGGGCAAAATGCACCATTGATTTTAGTTAGGAAGGCTTCTAATACATTTTATACTTCAAGTTCCTTTAGTTTTATGAAACCAACACACATAATGCCCATGATTCTTGCAGGACTTCTGTTTTTCCCAACCTTTTAAAAATTTCAAGTCTCTTCTGTAAACAAGGCCTTGAATTAATCAACATACACCCATTTGTGTCTCTCTCTCTCGGTCTCTCCCGCTCTCTATATCTCCGCTCCCACAAGAAGTTAGGAGCTTTGGAACGGAAGGACTGAGATTTGCATCCCACTCTTGCTATCTGACCTTGAGCAAGTTGGTGTCTGCACTGTCCTTGCTAAAGTGAGGATAACATTCATTTTCTCAGAGTTGGTGTGGGAGTCACTGAATTTGCAGCATACACCTAAGATGTGCTTTAAATGATAGCTATTCACATTGAGGGCAATTTCCTTAGGATAAAATACTATCCTAATAATAATGAGGCATGAGGAAAATATTGAAGGTATAATTTGTAGCTTTGCTAACCTATAACTGTACAGCTCCAGTTGGGTTAAATCTAAAGTTTGGAATGGCATTTTGAATTTCAGTATGGAAGAACATTTTATGTGGTTGGAGGAAGTTTGTTTAGGATAAGATCGCCATTTATCACTCTGAATCCAAATTCAGAATTATAGTGTCATTTTTTTTCTTTTTACTGAAAAGTCTTTTATTTTGAAGGTGAAGTACACACAGTCTCTTATTCATGACTTGCTGGAGCCCAATCTTAGAAAACTTAAGGCAAAGGTTAGTCTTCCTATGTGTGTGTGTGTGTGTGTTGGAGGGCCTATAAAGCCAGTGTTAATGTTTGCGTGCCACAGAGATATGAGGGAAATAGTCTACTTTTGTAAGTCATGTTTCCCAGGCCTGTTTCAGGAATCTAATTTCATCCCTAGTAGGAGCTTTGGACCTTGAAGTATTTTTGTCTGTGAACTGACCTGCTGAAGAGTATAACTTCTGTGTATGAGTAGAAGACAAATGTTTCTCATCTCCTTGGGATTAAGCTTTTTGTTTATGCTAATGAGGAGTGGCATTTACATTAATAGAGCAGTATATCTTCAGTGTTTGTATCACTGATTGGGAGCTTCTGATGAACATATGTCACAACTGTTGTCTTATATTAGAACTGATGATTTTCCCCCTTTGCCAACAGTTATTTTGATATCTTTACCATTTGGAGGTGAGAAATGCTCTTGTCAAATAAAATTTATTACTGAGGAAATCCTTTCAGCCCAATGGTAATTCAAATGGTGAAAATTCATCATCTTATTTAGTGTACTTTATTAATTTAGTGCACTTTATGAGCAACTGTTCATAAAGATATAATGAACCATATTATTGAAGTAAATAAGGTTTTTTTTTTTTTTTGGGGGGGGGGGAGTCCAGTCGTGGGGCCTGAACTCTGGGCCTGGGCGCTATCCCTCAGTTCTTCAGCCCAAGGCTAGCGCACTACCACTTGAGCCATAGAGCAACTTCTGGCTTTTTTCTTTTTGCTTATGTGGTGCTGAGGAATCGAGCCCAGGGCCTCATGCATGCAAGGCAAGCGCTCTACCACTGAGCCACCTTCCCAGCCCCGTAAATAAGGTTTTTTAAAGCTGCAAAACAGAGCAAATTCACTTTTCTGTTTTATTCTGAGATTCCATTTCATCAAGCAATAATCACATTTTGCTCACTTGTTTAAACATGAAGCAGCTTAGGGAAAAATAACTTTGGTTTCTGTTAACATGACCCTTGTACAAAACATGGGCTTTAGACTTCATCTACCATGCCTTTGATGTGGACATATTTCTGGATAGATTATGTGTTCTTTCTAGCAATTCTTTCTAGAAATTATATTCAGAATAAAATATTTCATATTAATTCTATATGGTTTATATTAATTTCATAGAATTTCTGTAATAAAGTACCACAAACTGAGTGGCTCAAGCAGCATACCAGCTCTGTTTATATTTTTGGAGATGCTTGATGTTTGAGTTCAAGGTCACAGAGTTATGCTGTCTGAGAAGGATCTACTTCAGGCCTATCTTCCAGTCCCTGGAGTTTCAGTGGCAGTCATTGGCTTTGCTTGTCTTGTGGATCCATCTCTTGGATGTATCTTGTCTTCACATGCACTGGCATTCTCTTTTATTTTTCCTTAAAACCAAATTTGCATATTTTATAAGGACACCAGTCATATTGGATTGAGAATTCTATTCCAGTTTGGCCTGATCTCACTTCAGTGTCCCATTTTCAAGGAAAGTCATTCTGTTTAATTATTGACTTCACAGTAGAAGGACATTTCCATCTGTAAAGAATGTAATTTTCTCTTTCCGTGTGTGGCAGACATATGCTTTTTCTTTTCTTTTTTTTTTTTTTAAGTCAGTTTGATAGGAATCTTGTTATGGTCCAAATGTGTTCTCACCTCAAACTCATGCTTTTTAAATTGTTATTATAAAGGTGATATACAAAAGAGTTACAGTTACATAAATCAGATAAAGAGTACTTCATTTCCTTTCGGACAATGCCACTCCTTCCTTCCTTCTCTGACATTTTGAAACTTAATTGCTAATGACATAGGAGTTGATGGCTTTAGGAGGTGATTAAGTCCTTTGGACTCAGCCCTCAGGAATGGAATTAGTGCCCTACTGTGATGTTGCAGGGAGTGCTCCACCCTCCTGTCACATGAGGGCATGGTAATGAGGGCCATCCTTTTGAAACATCACTAGCTTTCACTAGCCATGGAGTCCTCTGGTGTTCTGATCTTACTCTTCTGGAGACCTCAGAACTATGAGAAGTAAATTTCCATTATTGGTAAGTTACCCAGCTTATGGTGTTTTGTGATATAGCCTGAAGTAAGGCATACATCTACTGTCTTAGTCCATTTTCCATTGCTATAAGATGTAGCTGAGCTGGAGTAATTCATTAAAGTGGTGTATTTTGGCTCATGATTCTGAGACTTGGTGGTCATGTCTGATGAAGACTGTGCTGCTTCAACTCATTGCAGAACTCAAGTGAGTGAATGGGTTTGGGAGGCAAAACACAAGGGACTCTCACATTTTTGCAACTCACTTTGCCAGTTGTGTTCTCTACTCCTCTTAGCATGTGAACTGCTCATGTAAGTAAAGCTAAATTAATCTATGCATGAGGACTCTGCCCCTATGGTCCAAACACCTTCTACCAGGCCCTTCTTCCAACTCTTCTGTGCTCAAGAATCAAGGTTCTGACATACAAACTCTTGGAAGACACATTCAAATCATAGCTCTTACTGTAGACCATGTCTTCTGATTGTTTTAAGTGACAAACATCATTCTGGTGGACTGTGCATAGTGCTACCATGTGGTATGTGCTTGTTGTCATACTCAGATTCTTCACCTGGGAAAATTTAATTACGTTGGTGTTGTACACCTTTCTGTTTTAATTGATTTCTTCATGCTTTCATGACATTTAAAATGCTGTCTTATAGATGCTTTGTTTAGGAAAATGTTATATAAAACTGTTTATGCATTTATTAGGTGAGATAGATGTTAAACTTATTAAGTATGTAAATATACACTCTGTTATAACTTTATTTTTTTAATCTCATGTCCTTAATTACTTTCTCTAAGTGGTGAAATTGCTGCTGCTTTTACAATCTTTTTTTTTTTTTTTTGGGTCTGGTCATGGGCCTGAACTCTGGGCCTGGGCACTGTCCCTCAGCTCTTCACCACCACTTGAGCCACAGCGCCACTTCTGGCTTTTTTTTCTGCTATGTGGTGCTGAGGAATCG